TTTCTTCTCTTTCCTTTGCAGTCGGTGTCTTTTAACCTCAAACTCATTTTTTATTTTTCACAAACATTTCAAACCTTTTTTATACTTCTGCCGCTAATGATGACGACTGTGAGGTTTCGAAATGAAATGACTTTTTAAAAGCCTCATTTATTTAAAAATACCTACGAAGCGATGATATACAATGAAAAGAGGCTTACAAAAAAATGAGTAACATATGAAGCCATTAAAATAAAAATTGGTAAAAAAAACTAGAAATATAGACACAAAAAATAGCGTAAAGCGAAAATTAATAAGCAAACATAAAAAAGTAGGAGCGAAAATAATAATTTATGGAGAAAGAATATAATATCCGCTTAGGCCAATTGATAAATGGAAATTAAAGAAAGGTACATAATGAACTTTATGCTGGAAATTCTGAACTAACCTTTTACGCAAATTTAGTGAAACGTGTTGAAAGTTGATGAGAAAAAACATAAAAAACAATATTAGCCTTAAAATAAAATTTTGGAAAAAATCACAAAAATCCCAACTATTTTTGCATTGAAAACATTTTCATTTAATTTAATTTTAAAAACTCCTCTCAAAGTAATCTAATCCCAATGGACTTTGTCAGTTGATTTCGAAACCAAACCAGTTTTAGAGAACTCTGTGGGCTTTCAACATTATCTGCCATAAACAATGCTCGACTTTCACAAAGCAAAATCATAAGTAATTAATTGCAGATTTTTCAATGTGACAGTTAAAGTAATCATGACTGGGCAATAGCTTATACATGTACACACATATACACGTATGGAGTAATATATTTTTCAAGATCATTAACAATCAATTACACTTCAACTGTAAAAGATTTCACTTGAGTTACAAAAAGTCAAGTCACAGGTCGCACAAACACATATGTATACACGTACTTATAGAGGAAAATAGTATATTTATATCCCTCATTGATGACACTTAACAGGCTCCCTCACAAAATTACAACAAAAAAAAAAAGAAATAAATAAAAACTAGAAACAATAAAATTAACCACAAACAGGTTCAACCGCAAATATATTCTTAAAGGTGAAATAGGCAACTTGACAGACAATGACTTGCAAAAGTGCTGCTTACTTACATATATATATATACATATATATATGTACATATATATTGCTGTGGGTTATAAGAATAATATTACAATTAATTACACTAACGTGAACTCAGTTGACAGCTGGCGAAACGATGTGACGAAACGTAACAAAAAACAATGGAGATATACATACAAACATAATAAAAGTTGCTAATAAAAATAATATTATTAATGACAAATGTTTTATAAATATTTATGTTTTTCGAAAATAGAAATTTATTATAAAATATCCAGCATGTTGTTGTTGCATAATTTGCTACATTCACCAAATCACTTTAATGCCAGTAGATTACATCATCTGGATTGAAGTTAAGTCTTAAAGACATCTTTTACAAGCTGCGTCTTGTCCGTTGCTATCGCCCTAAAAGCAGAGAAAAAAAGTAAAATAAATTAAACTAAAACACCGCCAACTGACTGACGGCTTGACAGTCTGCCAAACCGCGCAGCTTTGGAGTTTTTGTTTCGATTTTTCTGCTACAACGAAATTTATAAAAAAAAAAATAAGAAATTTAATATTATATTCACTTATTTATGCATGAGCTGTGTACGGCTGTTATTGTAAGTAAGCACAGCCAAAAAGTGGCAATTTAGCCTAAAACAAAATTACATGTCATGTCAAATTTAAAGAAATACAACAAAAACACCGAAACCAAAAGTGACAGCACAGAAGAAATATAAATATTTAAAGTCAAACAACAGCAAAGTGAAAAGAAGAAACAACACAACGCCAGCACAAATTTCCATAATTATTACTCTTAGCAACCACACTGCCTTTCCTCAGCCAAACCCTTTACCACGTTGTCGTTTCTGACAATATTAAATCTATTTTCTGTTATTTTTCTTCGTACCAAAACTATTGTTAGCGAACTGTTGCTATTGTAGTTGTTTTTCTTTTATTGTTATTTATATGCTATCTTCCTGGCAATTATATTGTCAAATTAATATTTATACATATAATATTTAACAAATGTTTCTGTAGCAACAGTCACATAATTGCTCATTTAATTATATAAAACCAAAGCATTTTTTCTAATAATAATTTGGAAAGGAAAAAATTACACTTGCCCAATCAAATTTTGAGTATTTTCAAAAAATAAAATAAAATAAAAAAAAAATAAAATAAAATAAATAAAATAAAATAAAATAAAATAAAATAAAATAAAATAAAATAAAATAAAATAAAATAAATTAAAACAAAATAAAATAAAATAAAATAAAATTAAATTAAATAAAATAAAATTAAATAAAATTAAATAAAATAAAATAAAATTAAATTAAATAAAATAAAATAAAATAAAATAAAATAAAATAAAATAAAATAAAACAAAATAAACAAAAAATAAAATTGACAAAAATGAAAAAAATAAAATAAAATGAAATAAATAAAAAATAAATAAAAAAGAAGAAAAACTAAAGACATAGTGAGCAAAATAAATTAATAACCAGTTGAAAATGTATTACTCAACAAACTGCAGTCAAAGAACTCATAAAAGAATTCAGCCATATTTTCCCATCTATGTAAAAATGTTTATATGCAATTCTGTTGTTGTCATTGTAATATTTCGTTTGCATTTCCATTGCATGTGCCTTTAAGGTGTCAAGTGCTTGGCGCTGATGATGAGTTGGCCACCAATAGAGTAGCGTCTAAAAGACACTACGACAAAAGTAAAGACAAAAGTAACAAAAACAACAAATATTAAAGTAAGTTGCACTTCATAATGAGTTGTTTCGTATTCACTTGCGCTTCGTACGTTGTTAGTCTAATGGCTTTTGGCTGATGGTTGACGCGCGTTGTTGACTTGCTCGCTGGCAGTCAGACCCATTCACTATGCAACGTGAATGGCATACGAATTTATATTTATAATTTATAATAAAATATTTCTGGTTTTTTTTTTTTTTTGGTGCCGCAACTAACTCGTAATTCAAAGCACTAATGCAGTATGGTGTAAAGCATTTGTACTAAAGAAAAAAATAGACAAAATAGTTGAGCTACTCGTGTCGTATGTATGTGTGAATGTGCGTTTGGTTGTACACACACGTTTTTTATAAGTTCTATTTTGGTTAAATTTAAGTGCACTGATTCACTTACAATAATTTCAATTTATATGCTGTTGTAGATTTTCATTTGATTTTTAGTTCTCCTTATTTCAAAAGCGAAGTAAGAAAATTTGCTGTTTTTATTTTTAGTCAAAATTTACTGAAAGAAAAATTTTACTTTTATTGTACTATTTCAGATTAAAACGCTCTTTAACTCCCTTAAACGGATGTCAAGCTCTAATAGCTTTAATAAAATGTTGCGTGTTTATTTTTATGCACATATATACAAACATACACGTACGAATGTATAGTACAAATATATACGTACATATGTGTGTGAGTATATCGAATTTAAGCCTCTAATGTTTCTCGCTTGTTAGCTCTGCATTTATGCCATTTCAATGAAATTTGTTGTTGTGAAAAGTATCTTCTTACACAGTGCGCGCTCATTGCGAAGGAGAAAATCCGACTGCAAAAAAAATATATAAATAAGAAGGGCTAAAGTTAAAAAATCGATGTACCTGCAATAAAGATAAGCTTGGTTCAGGCAAAAAACCAAGGGAAAATGGAAGGCAAAGAAAGAGATGAAAAATAATTTGAACAAAAAAAAATTAAAATATAAAAATTTAAATGAAAAGTAAAGAAGAACTGGAAAAATTACTTTATTTTTTGTGTATTTTTATCTTATTTTAAATTTTCTTATTTAGTGTATATACATGCATGTGTCCATATGTATTTTTGTATTTTTGTATTTTTGTTTTGCGGCTATTTTACATCGCATTTGAATGCAACGCAACGTTGCGGCTCTGCGGTTAAGCTGCCATTATAGTTGCATGGGCACGTAGCCACACATACATGCATACATATGTATATTAACTTTGCAGAGCATTAAGCGTATGCAAGCTTATATACCATGTACATATGTAGATATATAATTCGTGTAAACGCACTCTGTAAATGGCATAGATGCAATCGTATGTATGAACGTTTCTGCCTACTAAGCTGCCCAGTTGGAGCACCAAATGCGAATTTGAGTTGCCCAGCAACGGTTGGTGGGGAGGCGGCGCGGCGCACCTCAGCTTGGGCGCAATGCAACGAGTACAATGTGACGCAGCGAAGCCAACAACCGCAACTTAACGAACCAGCGGCTTTTGTAGTTCATGAACGGCCAGCGAACTTAAATGCAACAAAAAAAACAGCAACAAAACAACAAAGACAGTAGCAACAAAAGCCGTAATGAACAGTGGAAGCAAGAAAAATAGGAAGAAAAAAGTTTAAACCAAAAATAAAAATAAAAATGAAATTAGAGAAAACAAAACGAAAACATAACAATAAAATAAACAAGAACCAGCAACAACAACAAGCAACTAGGTGACTTGGCTTTTCAACAATTTTACTTACGCTCAAACAACTGCTGGAATGACTGACCAAAAGCAAGTTTGGTTTCTTTTTAATTTTCATTGCAACAACACGAAACCGACAGACACAAAAAAAGCAAACTTCTAGCGGTATTTTAAGGTAAGAAGCTGCCAAAATGGTTAGGAAAATGTTTAATTTAAAATTAAGATACTCTTTTAATGTAGTCTCTGCCATTATTTTATTATTATTTTTCCTAAATTAAACTCATTTCGGCATACAATTGCACTAGTCCATTTATGAAAAATTTGTAACTAGTAAAAAGCTAGTATATATCAGCTTAAAGTTTGGTAACCAGCAGCTAGTGGGGCATATTTGCTTGAGGTAATTTAAAAATATTGGTATTATTTATGGCCAGGCAGTTGACTGACTAATTACGCACTCACCAGTTCCAAAGTAGTCTTAAACTAGTTCGTTGAAAATCTCCACTGTTGCTCTGTTGTATTAAAATATTTGAATTAAATGTAAACCGGCAGCCGTCAGCCTGCCAGCCAAGCCAGTCAGACTAATTACATTGTTAGACCGAATGGAAATTGCGGAAATGCTCGAGGAAGTAGAAACTCTGTGTTAGTGGTTTCGTTGCGTATATTTACATAAGCTTATGCATAAGTACGTATGTGGGTACATCAATAATATTGCAGGGCTATAAAAAACTGAAAGCGCACTTTTATTCATTAAGCTGCCATTGTGTGTTTTGAATTATGCGCTATATTTTTTGTTAAAATGTTAATTAAATAGTTGTATAAATTATTACAATTTTTTTCCTCCATAATGTTTCCCTGTAGTTGGAGTTGTCTTTAGTTGTTGAGTAATTTTTTAAACTGAAAAAAAAAAAAATGTGATGCCACCGTTAATGAGTAATAATAAATGTAATAATGAGTATATTAACATTTCTAAAGCCGTACGTTTGTTGTAATTGTAATTAGTTTTGTATGTGTAAGTTGATTTGTTGCATAGAAAAGGTAAATGGAAAAGACAATCAGAGAGAGAGAAATCTGCTCGAAACGTCAAGTGCTCAGTGCTTATGTGTATTTTGATTAATAATAAGGAAAACATTGAGATTCTAAGATATTAAATTAGATTTTGGTTATTTATAAGAGAAGTCTTTGCGAAAGCCCTATAAATTTCTTAAGTACAATATTATCAAATATTTTGCCTTATTTATTAGTCCTTTTGCGAGATCTATGAACCAAAATCACATACATATTTAAACTGTAGTTTGTATGTCCAATTTGGGTGATTTTTGATTTCAGCGATTTTCCAATGCAATCCGTGGGAAAATTTGCGTATAATCCGAAATGACAAAGTTTGTCCCAAAAGCAGCTGTACGTGGTCTATATAAAACAGCCAATAAGTCTCGCTAATTTAGAAGAACGATCAAAAAGTAAAAAATTCAACAAGTTTTCGAATTTCGAGAGACTTGTTGGGGTCATTCTTATATATATATGTCTGATACTTGCATTTTTCGCACCAAATTTAATAAACCATTTTATGTAAATGGATTTTTTTTCCTGATACTTAGCTTGGCGTAGACGAGGGTATTTGAAGAATAAAGAGCAGTGCAGACTTTTATTCACACTCACTTTCATTCTCTCATTCTTCTATTCATCCATCGATTTCATCTCGAATTTCAGTTTCAACTACTACTTTCTCCCTCCCTCTCTCAATCTGTCTCTGTTGCTCTCTGAAACCAGCTGGAATACGTAGAAAAAATATTAGAATAAATAACAAATAAAAAAATTTTGATTCTACTTCTGCGATTGCACAATATTTTCAAAAATATTCTGTTCACACATTATGCCCTCGGCCATTAGCATTTTTAACGAGACAATATTTAACAGAAGCATTTTATTTTAATTTAACAACAACAAAAGGAATTAAAAAATCGTGTTAATGCCTGGCATTATATTAAAATGTTAACTTTTTTTTTAAATTAAAAACTATATACCTTTATTGTGGCCATAATCAATTTTTAACCTACCGTTAACTGGTATTCAATGTGTGGGTATGAGTATGTATGTGCGCATGTATGTGCGGTAAACACATTAAAACGCGATATTTTCAACGCCTTCCGGCTGGTAACTGCGACTAAAAACGGAAACTCCGCGGCGATTGCGTGCATCTTGCAAGTGGAAACAGCAACAACAACATGAAAATGATAAGCAACAATATTACTCAAAACAAATCGCTTTTTTAATTTACAATATTTTACTAAAAACCATGAAGTCAACGAACAAATTAACACTCAACCAACAACAGCACCAGCAACAACAGCAACAACAGTAACTAGACAAACTCGCTTGTCCAACACAGCGTACCAGTGCACGACGGCCCGGACTGGACCGACGACCAAGCCCAAATGTGCAGGCAAATGGGCTATTTTATAATTCGTATATATATTATTAAAAAAGAAAAAGAAAACAACAACAACAACAACAACAACTTGTGATAATGCTCGTATATAAAAAGCGTTGCAAGCGCGTGTCTTGAACTCGTAAAAACTTAACCCGCATCGCATGGTTTGGCCTTTTGACTTGCCGTTTTTCACGTGAATTGAACGCAAGGTAGAAAATAAAACAACAACAAGACCAACTCTTCTTATTACAACGTATATGGAAAACAATAAAAAAATAAAAAAAAATTAAAAATAAAAAATAATATTTACAACTATGAAAACAATTATTGTTGTATATTACATGGCATTGCATTAAAATTTAATGACGAAAAAATAAAAAATTTAAATAAAGTAAAATAATCACTAGTCTGTAAAGTGAATTTTGTGTTTACGATGTGGGAAGGGCCATTTGGTGCTTAAATCTTTTTATATATAAAAAACTTTTTTGTGTTGAAACATGTATGAGGTTTTACAATATATACGTGTATGTATGTATATGTCCTTGTTTGATTTATCGTAAAAAATCGATATTTTCTATACACGCAAAATTTATAAAAATTTCACTGCTTACATTTAGGCCATGAGATGATTAATCAATATATTCTATACATATTTATATATAATATATTGGCTTTGTCCCGAACGACTGACTGATCAACTTACAGTCTAAACCACCGAACGTAAATACCTGAAACCTTGGAAGGTGCGTATGACCGTATGACCTGAAACCGATCTGTTCGAAGTAAATCGATTTTACTTTTAAGTCGCTCGATTTACGTGAAACTAGGTTCAGAGCGAACTTTTCGCCCAAAACTGGCATGCGGAATACTTTTTCATCCAGGAAGTGGATCTAAAAACCAATGAAATCGAAATATTTGCATTTATCGTTTGATTTACATAAAATCTGGTACAAGGTTTGGTTTGGGTCTAAATTAATATAGAGGCCACTTTTTCTTAAATTAAGCAGTCTTGGGAGAATTAGTTAGTTATCATTCGAGAGGTGGACCTGAGGCTGATATGTGCAAAAAGATTCGGGTTTTGTTCTATTCGCTTGTAATTTGGTTATTTGTTTAGGTAAATACCAGGACAACTTTACTTCCTGGGAAGTGACCCTATCTATGTGGGAAAAAAGTCGTATTTACGATAAGACTTGCTTTATATTGGGATTCAGTTATTATATTTCAAAAGTAAATAAAATTCAATAAAAATCATAATAATACCGTATTGCGGGTGACGTCGCAGGAAAACTCAAGGTTAAATTTTTTTTCTTAATTATTTTAGGGTGCGCTGAATAACGTTATTTTATATACAATTTTTTTTTATATTTTTTACTCTGTGGCATGAGTTTAACACGAAAATTGATTAAATATTTTATAATTTATTTTTTTTTGTTTTTAATTCTTTTGTATGGAACCACAACTAAATTTGTTTTAAAATATATTATATTTTTTATTGAGCGATTTGATATTTTAAAACTGTTTTAACTTTTCACATTACTCGGTTTTTTATTTTCGATTTTTAATCTAAACTGATATATTTGACCATTTTTTAACCACAAAAATGTATTTTTGCAGAAAATATTTAAGGAGTTTAAAAATTTGAATATCGACATTGTTGGATATTTATGAATAAATCAGTAAAGGGATTTTTTGGAAATAGTTAAATTTTAATAATAATTTCATTTTCTGATTATTTTGGTTCCAGTCCAGTCCTCAGTAAGGACAATAGCAAGAGGATGTAACTTCTCAGGCACTATTTTATTCAATTCAAGTTATATTTTGGTATAAAAGAAGCAAGATAAGAATATTAAGCTCACATTATTTTTTTATTTGGTGGTAGCAACATTATTCCTCATTCTGAAAAGGACGAATTAATGAAAAATTCTCCCCTCAACAAATTGCCCATGGATTTGATTATCAGTTTATTTTTCGATTAAAAGTTAGAAGTCTAGTGAAGAATAAGATTTACTTATATAACTTAGCTTCTAGAAAAAAAATTAATTGCCAAAGGTTTCAAGGCAGGTGAGCCGCCAAAGTAAATAACAATAACAAAAAATAAAAATAAAAAAAACTGTTTAAATTTGCAATTACAAATGAGGGATCAGTCCATTGTCTAGATACATATGTATGAAATGTACCGTTAATTTATGACTGCCATAGTATCATCTAAAACTTGGGTTGAGCGCCGTAGCAGTCATGGCAGTCATGGCACGTCCGTGCGGTTCCCACAGCAAAAGTAAATAAATATTTAATGCAACAACAGTAATAAAAGTGATTTAACGTGGATTAGAAGATTTCTACCTCTGTAAAGACACTCCTTCGATTAATCTTGACACGTATTTATTTTACAGAAAATATTATTAGTAAGACAACAACAGCACACACACACACACACACACATTTAAACAATAATAAATATTTAATTTTATTTACGCTTGTACCGGTTAACTGTTTTAACAGCTTACCTCTCTAAACATTGTAGACCTCACATCCGCCATTCATTGTACTAAGGCGAGTACAAGTATGTACGAGTGTATATACCCGTATGTTGAAGAAACGCTGGCCACTTGCCACTTGCCACAAGCGACAACGGCGCCGCAAATCGCGAAGCTTAGAAGTTTTCCCACATTTTCCTCTCGACAAAAACTAATCTCTCTCTAATTGTTGTTGTAATTATAGTTGGTTTTCAAGTTGTTGTCTGAATTATTGTTATTGCGCAGCGACACAAACACATGTGAGGAGCATGAAAAGAACTAACTTGTTTACGAGCTTTCCGTGACTGTTTGCTAATGCTAAAATAATAATAACAACAACTAAAACTTTAATTTAGTTGCAACATATACATACATACACGAAAGAGTACAACAAACGCAGCTGCAACATAACAAATCCATACGTGCCACATACGTCTGTGTGTGTGCACACACTTTGTTGTACGTGCAAATAATTTTGTGTGGGCTTTAAAAGCATTAATACTCGATGTGTATGTGTGTGTATGTGTGTATGAGTGTCTATAGCTGATTTCCTACAATGAAAAGTTAATGTGCGTCCGTCTGCCACTTGGCTTCTTTGCCACATAACTTTGCCGCACCGACACCGCTGAGTTGCAACTTGGTCTGCAGCAAATAGCGACATGTTGATATTGTTATTGTTGTTGTTGTTGTTGTTGTTATTGTTGGTATTTATTGTGCATCCAAATGAAATCTGTTTATTTTTCAATTTTTTTCTTTTTTCCAACTTATTTCATATTTATACTCTCTTGTTGTTGTTGTTGTTGTTGTTTTCATACTTGGCATGAGTATTTATTTTATAGTTTTAGTTGTTGAATATTTATGTTTCTTCTTCTGCTTGCTGCTGCGGTTTCATGTCGCCATTTCGCATTTGCAACAGCTGCTGCCACACTTCCAACTCATTTTTTTTCCATTGTTGTAAATCATTTATGTTGTTGTTTCTCGTTTTATAGAGACTTCATACTTTTAAAGCGCCGTTCTGTGTATTTGTTTTAATTTATACGCCCGCAGGTGAGGCAGAGAAAAAATAAAAATAAATTGTCCGATCGTCGCTCGCTCGCCAGCACCGTTAAAAGCGTGTGAATTTTCATTTTGCTCACGCATTCGTTGCTTTACTCATACCTAATAGCCGTTAGTTCGCCAAGCGGTTATCGAGTTAGTTGTTTTTGTTTATTTCTTGTTTGTTTCTTAATCACTAATCAACTAAATAATCTCGTTCGCTTAAATATCAGCTGCTTTATTATTGTTGGTTTTGATCATTTACTAAATTGCCGGGCTGCACCTGTTCAGCTCGACAGTTGCAAGGCTGAGAAAAAAGTGTTGAAAAGTTGTTTTGAAAATGTTTTTTTTTAGTTTTTTTAAATTTTTATGAAATTTACTAATTTATGATGGGAAACATTGTTTACTAGAACCCATGATCATTTTTATTAAAAAAAAGTAAGCTCTATTTTGTAGATAAGCCCTCTACAGAACTTATTTTTTAATGTATTGTAAAATCTCATCTCATTTAATGTATCTTCTACTAGAAGCCGTTCTGACCTAAAAAATCAAAATTAAATTGAAAATAAAATCATATTTTTTATATAAAACTGTAGTTGAAATTTCACGTGTGATTTGCACTCTCAATCAAACTCACCTAAATGTAGGCAGCGTTGTTGTTAGAATTTGTTGCAATTCTGCTGCCAACATTTAGGATGAGTTTAAGAGCATATATACATATATTAAAGCAATTATCGAGTGGTCGATGAAACAATATGCCAAGAGCTTATGGTTTTCATAGGCCCTCTTCCTATGTACTACAGGTCCAGATCAGATTTCCGATAACCATCTACTTATTAACAAGTGCCAGAATGGCCGAATGCACATCGCTTGAGTGGAAGCTAATAAGAGTATGAGAAAGACAATGTTATATCTGCAGCCAATGGGAAAGACAACATCTTCAATAATCATAAAAAATATTCGTTCACCTTTTTTCGACTTAAACTTGGACTTTTTAAAAGGCCTTTCGTTATATCTCTGATATCGATATGTTGATTTCTGATACTATGTTACTGATACTATAGTAACAAAGTATCCAATTTATTGTTAAATCTTAGGCATAAGACTTGGTCAGTTTCTTTTCTTTTATTCCTAAAATGTTTTCAGCGAGTAAAAGAGCATAAGATCATATGAATATGGTTTCAAAGCTTACAACTTACTTGACAGGTTTGCCTTGCCTTCCTGGGATTGTTTTAGCAATGAAAACATAATCATATTATAGTTTTTACTTACTTTTAGGAAATATAAACACGATACACGAGTAATTTAAAACCTTATGGCTGAGAAGGAGTTTGTCTATAGAAATCTTTCCCCGCTCGATTGACCCTCAACACGACTCGTATATTCTGTATCAGTTCTTAGGGAAAGTTATGCATATTTTTTTCGAGAATTTTAGCTTACT